TCAACAACATCATTTGTGTTCATATGTTAGATTACGTAAATCAAAATATGATTGTTATACAGTAGAAAAAAAAACAAAAATAACAGTACTGAATTTTATTATTAAATGAGCTGTGTGATTTTCGTCAGAGAAAAATGTGTACAATATAAGCGATACAAAAAGAGAAGTTTATGACAGATCAGTATATATATATGTCTAAATTAAAATTATTCTTCCGTAAAAACTTTCTATAATACATAATTGAATTTTTATATCATCTTCGTAATCATCAACTCTATTTTTTTTACTATTGATTCGGCTTATATAAATGGTAAAAACTGTATAGTATTAATTGATACAAATTTAATGTATCCAATTGATTCGTCTATTAATTTTTATCAAAATTCTCATTGATAAACAAAAATATTAGTAGAAAAGTAAAAGAAAAAAAATTCTAATAAAGAAAACTAATTCAATGAGATAAATCTTTTAATATACAATGAACGCATCTATTAAATCCTTAAAATATTTAGGTATGAGCTAACAAGAAGAGCTCATCAGATTCACACTCCTCTGTTATCTTCTGTATTACAATTAAATATTAAATAAAACAAAATATAGATAAAGAAGAAAAGTAAAAAGATTGCTTTCGAGCAAAAGCAATAAATGATTCATTCGATTCATTCTCAAAAAAAAATTTACACGCACAACTTTCAACAGTATTTATCAGGTCATAATTATACAAAAATTACAAGTTTAAAATCTCTAATCGAAATGTATTTTTTCCTGTAAACGAACTTTCTCAATTATTCTTTTCTAACAGTAAAAAGGTCAAACATTGTTCCTATTTCATAAGAAGAAAGCAAAACAACTAGAATCTTTTATTCAAACTGATATTTTTGTTATTAATAAATTGTCTATATTCATGTTGAAGAACAATAGTGTAGTGTTAGGCTCAACAAGATATATAAAGAGATTAATATGAAAACAACATTCACTGAAATACTGATAAAGAATTCGTCTATTTGTGGATTTTACTAAAAGACTCGTTGTTTAACCTTACAAAAAATCTTTTATTAAAAGTCTTTTTATTAGTAGAAATTTCTCATAAAAATTATAAGGACGATATCATTTACTCGAAAGAGATTTGCAATTTTCTTTAAATCTCTTCTATGTCTCATAGATTCACTTATACTTTTAAGCATAACAAAAAACCATGTATATATGTCTAATGAGAAAACAAAATGTGATTCATTAATTTATTTATTATTACTACTGAGATTTCATTTATAGACTCAAATAATTAATCTATACATAATTTTATTTATGAAAATTCTGAGATATTTTTCAATGAACTCACAATAAAACTCTATATCTCACAAATACTCGATAAAAATATCAATTATCTTTGGAAAATCATAGAAAACGAATATTCGTCAGAATGTGAATTTATCCTTAACGAGAAAATATTCCAATAAGTTATTCAGCATGTTTTCTTTTTTTTTTTAGTGTAACGCCTCACTCTACACCTATAATCGAAATACAGAATACACCAACAACTGTATGATGGGAGATCTGGATAAAAACAAAATATACAATTTCTCAAGCAACTATAGTTTAATCATTTTCTAATAAAAAACCAACATTGAATTTTTTATAGAAACTTAAATATCTACACTGAAAACAAAATGAAATTGTTGTATCTGTTGAATAATTTTTATACAAGAGAAATATAATGAGAAATACATGAAGACATTCATTAAATGCTCTACTGCTATCATTATTGTCTCTCTTAGAAAATACCTCATTTCATTCTAATTAAATGACATTACTTCATAGAGAGTACTTTGTCAGGTAATTAAAAACAGTTACTTCTTTCATTTCTACAATGTCAAAATACTCATTAATAATTCAATTAAGAAAGTGGAACATGTAAAGACAATAACGATCATTAAATCTAAACGAAAAATGCCTCTTTAATCTAATACTTTGTCTGATATACAATTTCGTATAAAAATCTAGAAATAATATTACTTTTACATTACAGTTGTTTGTTCAAAATGTTTATAATGATGAATTTTGTTTTCATCGATGAGTCTTAAAAATTTAAAGAGTACAAATATGATATACTCTATCATCAGGAGACTATTTTGAGATGAATTCATAGCTGTTTATATATTCATTACTATATCGATGAATATGACAATATAAGTGAATACACATCATTCATAGTTTGTTATGTAGAAGTTGATACATTTTGGACAAAAATTAGATAAATCCTGAGAAGCACTATATTCCAATGAAAATAAAATTTAGTAACGATGAAAATCACTTGAAATGAAAGAAATTCATCAATCTTAAATGTGTAGAAATTTCAATTTTTGCACAACTAACATTTCTTTAAAGAAAAGTCGAAAAACTATACGTGAAAAAAGTTTACGCAAAACTTTCTCAGAAATTTCTCAAATACATATATGTTGAAGATAATGAAGACGTCCAATAAAAAATATATTGTTCAGTAGAGAGACAAACGCTATCTTATTCTATATAATTTAGACATGTATATATTTCAGACATTCTTAAAATAAAGATCACATTTTGTAAAAACAAAACACACCTATTTTTTAAGTTACTCAAGTTGATGAATTCTCTTGTCTTGTATTCTTATTTGAAGACGAGCAATGTGAAGGAGAAAGACAAAGCCCTCTATATATATGTAACATGAAAATTTTTTTTCGTCGACAATGACATGATATAGATGTATGTCAGACGAGAAAAAAAATCATCAAATCAATTAAAACAGAAGTGGAATGATTGATAAAAAATCAATCAAAATTTTGAACATCGGTCAATTAATTCTCAGAGTATATAAAAACATGCATACATCATTATGAAATCATACACTCGAGTTGTATTATTATAATGCATTACAATGTATTTATATACCCGGGTTTATTATTATTATTATATTATTTACAATGATAATGATATTATTAAATTCTATATGAGGTAAATAATAAATTCATTATATATTTAATAAAACTTTTTTTTTTTTTTTTTTTTTAGATGAGTTTCGATATTATACAATATTGAGAAGTAAGAAAAAAAAATTTCTTTACATATTCAGTTGAGTTGAGTTGAGATAAGTTATTTTGAGAAAAAATAAATACTATCAGTTATTATGAGTATGAGTATGACTACTTTTGAGATGAGATGAGTTGAGTTATGAGTGTGGCTCAGAGAACTACGTTGTCTGATTCAATAGGGACAGGAACTTTCGTGCCATATCGAAGCAGTGTAGTACTAGAGAAGACCTCTATGTGTCGTTGGTCCCTACCGTTCATACGGCATACCTTCGGTCATTGCCCTACCAGTCCGGCGTGGTCCGCCTGTGGTACCTATGGCATTGACAAGGGATCTCTCCCTTGTCGCGCGCGCGCGTAAGCCAAAATGAGCTGAGAAAAATCGAAACGATTAGCAATGTGAATAAATTTATTGAGCAAGAGAAAAGAAAAAATTACAGTTACATTTTCTTTTTTACATTGTCAATTGAGTTTGTGACCTTTATAATATTAGGATGGTTAGGTGGAAGTGATTTTTGACGGATAGCAAGTGTCTTTTCTAAGAATGAGAGTGCTTTTGAGTAGTCTCCTTTGCCGGAATACGCCATACCGACGTTGTTGTAGGAAGTAGCCAAATTGGGATGATTCGCAGGCAGAGCTTTTTCGAAGATTTTAAGTGCTTTTTCGTAAAATTCAAGTGCTTTCGAGTAGTCACCCATGTCGTAATATACTCCACCGATGTTGTTGTAGGAAGTAGCCAATTCGGGATGATTCGGAGGCAGAGCTTTTTCGTAGATTTGATGTGCTTTTTCGTAAAATTCAAGTGCTTTCGAGTAGTTACCCATGCTGCTATACACGAGACCGATGTTGTTGTAGGACAGAGCCAGATCGGGATGATTAGGAGGCAGAGCTTTTTCTCTTATTTTAAGTGCTTTTTCGTAAAATTCAAGTGCTTTCGAGTAGTCACCCATGTTTTTATACACTTGACCGATGTTGCTGTAGGAACTAGCCAAATTGGGATGATTTGAAGGCAGAGCTTTTTCGAGAATTTTATGTGATTTTTCGTAAAATTCAAGTGCTTTCGAGTAGTCACCCATGTTGTTATACGCAAGCCCGATGTTGTTATAGCAAGCAGACAATGCTGGATGATCTTCCGAAAGAATTCTTCGGTTAATTTCGAGGGCTTTTTCGTAAAACTTTATCTCTTTTTCGTATTGACCCTGTTGCAATTTCACTCTACCTAACTCGTGATAGATATATGCTTTAGCACTGTCGTCGGATGCCTGTTCTAGTAGTGCCATGTACAATTCTTCGGCCTTGTTGAATTGACCAATTTTGAGCAGCAATTTACCCATTCGATCCCATCCAGTGCTGCCCGATGTTTCTTGTCGTATACGATCGGTTAATTGACGCAGTTGTTGGTCATCATCCGACGTAAGTTTAAGGTCCACTTGATAAAGTGGACTTTTCTTGTCCAGTATTCGAACTTCATCAATTCGAAAAACGGTGTGCATCGAGAAGAGAATTTCCTTTTCACCCTTGTAATAACTCACTTCCTCGATGGAGGCGAAAGGAGTCGATGAGATTGTGGGATCGATAGTCATTTGAAAAAGGATACCAACCATATCGGTTGTTCCTAAGGTACCTTTGGCGAAGCGGAGGGAAACATCTCGTTTTGTACTGGTGGATAAAAAGTTGTTGAAAGATATGAGACCACCTTTGTTTTTTGCAAGTTTTTCGAAGTCACTTGTCGATAATCCTTGACCCCTATAAACTAGAAAGGACTTCCCATGATATTGACTGACCTGTTGGCTGTGTAAGTCTTCAATTTGTCGATGAACATCACACATGAAAAATCCCATTCGGATGATAATGTCGCCATCCAATGTTCTTAATGCTCGATTGAGCATTTTGTATGTGAAGCATTGGCGTGTATACCACCATAATGCCAATGTTGGATGGTAAGCACGTTGAAATTCATCGATCAATTTCAGTTCTTTGGTATTGTCCTTGTATTGTTCTTGGCAGAAGATGACCAAGTCTTTAATGGTTTTTTGACCATGTTCCATATCAAGGAGTATTTCCTTGAATATTTGAGTATACATGAAGGAAGGCTCTAGCTGATTGAGATTTTTGCTAGAACCTCCTTCGTTGACACCGATAATACTGACTGTAACTTGATCTTGATTGGATTGTTTGACAGCTAGTGCCAGTTCTTCACAGATGTGCTTGATTGATGTATGCACACCTTTAATTTTGGGCCAATTCTTAGCCCATTCTTGGTGGCGTTGTTTGTTGCCACAAAAGATGTATATGGCATCTACTTTTGACATGCCATGAATTTCGGGTACAAGTGCTTGACCAAGTGAACCTGAGGAGATGACGAATGATGTCTCCTCTTTGCTTTCCTGGAGCTTATCAATACACTCTTCAGCCGTGATACATGGGTTCACTTCGTTAACAACACTGCGCAGTTGCGTCAGTGTGTTCTGGCAATCTTCGTTTTTCATATCGATATTCGCATCGACCCACATCACCAAATAATTTTCGGCCATACGTCGCTGTCGTTGTCGACTCATTTTTGACGTTATATTTTCCTTTTGAATCAGTAGTTGAATAGAATGAATAATGAGTTGCTATTTGGATAAAGTTTCTCTTTTCTATATATATTCGATGTTGAGTGTCTGTTTTTGTTTTGTTGACACTTGAAGCAATCTCTACCTAGTTGCAATGGAATATATGGTTGCCAACAACATACCTAATGGCATTATTTTTCTTTCCAACTTTCGTTTACTTTTCATCGATTGAATTGTTTGAGCAATAATGTATTGGATACTTCGTCTTTTTCTCTTTTCGGCGAAAACAAAACATGAAACAACGAAAACATCATGGATTGAAATTTTTTTTTTCATTTTTCTTATGACATATATGTTGATGAGGCACAAAAAAAAACGGCACGAAAAATAATTTCAATATTGAATTGAAACAACATTATATTTAAACACCAGCGAGATATATTTTCACAAAATTACCGAAGCTATTAAGAATAAACTGTATCTCTATTAATGAATGTTAAAGTACCTCTTTTGCTCAACATCAGTACATAGTATGAGTGTGAGGGTCGATTTTCAGCTTCAATTATCTCAAAATTCACAACTACACATTGTATCATCATTAACAATCTTGTTGTAGTAGTTCTTTGATTTATATCATATTCTTTCAAAATATATGTAAAATAAAAAGAATTTGTGTTAAAATATTTATA